CCACTTCAGGCCCCCCTCTCGCGTTTTGCTCCGACAAATCTTTTCGGGTTTCGTATTCCACCCCCTTCTATCCAGTTATCAGACAAGACTCGTGATTTTGCGTGCCAAAAGGAAAGGAAGAAACACATGCAACTCACAAGACAAATGTTATTACGCGTTTACACAAACAAAAGTACACTAAAAAAGCTTTATGTAGTATGATAAAACGACACGTGGGTTTTTCAACAGATAAATATGTGCATTTTCTCATACAGTTCATAAGGTAAGCACCTGTTGCTTGAATACTTGGCAACTTTGAACTTAGAGCTAAAAATATGGCACCAGAGAACTCCTTGCTCTGCAAAATATCAACAATAATAATAAATCTCACTATTTTGATGACAAAAGGTCTGAGTGTTTCTCAGTGGAATGGAAATCTCAACAGGATGGAGAAAGCATTTCCTTTTGGCTCTGTGCTATTTTGTTGCCAGACCTGTATTTCTCAATAGATTTTGTGACTGAAAATCTTGACAGAAGTAGAGAATAGTCACATAGATAGACCACTTTGTTGACATTTGGGGTCAACAATAAAAAAAAAAAAATGCAATTACTCCAGCCTGATCTCACAAGTAAATGTAAGTATTTTACATTTGTCAGTTTAGTGGCTAATTTGTAGTAGTTCAGTTGTGCGAAAATGTATGATTTTAAAAAGGGGGGGGGCATTAGGTGATGAGCAAATCATACTAAATTGTACGAATTAGATAATATGAATTCATACGAATTAGCCACTGAATCGAAAAGTTACGAATTGCTGTGACTTTTTACAGCAATTTGTGCCGGAAACGAATTGCCATGAGATTGTGTTGTTTATTTCCTATACTAAAACAGTATGGAAAGTCAACAATTGGAAAAAAAATACACAAAGTATACATATAGGCATGGAACGATAAACGTTCTAAACCAGTTTGGAAAAGTCAAGGTTTTATAACCGCTAATTTTTTTGCTATTTCGCTATCAGTATCTCCAACAAAAAATAAATAAACAAAAATAAATGTTAAAAAAACAAATGCTGACCAAGCATAATTTGTGATTATATCAGAAGAATATTTAATAAATACATCAAATATCTTATCAATTTGGCGCTTGTGTGGTGTTTGCATGTTCTCCCTGTGTTCGTGCGGGTTTCCTTTGAGTGCTCCGGATTCCCCACAGTGGTTATTGCTAGAGCGGATACGTTTGCGGCCGGAAGTTAACGCGAATTATTTCTATTATTTATTAAATTTCTCATTTGTTTTATTTTATTAACGTCTACCCCCACCCCAACCGTCACAGTAATGTAAAAACTGTAGTTGTACCGAGTATTAGTTATGTCATCTATTAAATTACCCAATAAAATGTATTTTTTAACACCTACTCCCACCCCAACCTTAAACCCAACCCTCACAGTACTGTGAAAATAATAATTGTTATACAGACTCATAAAAAAAATGCTGCTTTATTAATGTGCATATCGCACTTCTGGCCGGCCGATCTAGACTTCACCCCCCACAGTCCAAAGACATGCGGTACAGGTGAATTGGGTAGGCTAAATTGTCCGTAGTGTGTGAGTGTGAATGAGTGTGTATGAATGTTTCTCAGTGATGGGTTGCAGCTGGAAAGGCATCCGCTGCGTAAAACATGTGATGGATAAGTTGGCGGTTCATTCCGCTGTGGCAACCCCGGATTAATAAAGGGAATAAGCTGAAAAGAAAGTGCTTGAATGAATCTTAACAAGGTGATAAACAAACATCTAGACCGCAGGTGCCCAAACTTTTTTTCGTATGAAGGACCAAAAACCAAATATGATTAAGAGCAGTGGTCCGAAAGTAAAAATACCAAACTATTTTACATAAAATGTCACCATGGGTAATTTCCTAATTTATTTAATAAAATTTCAGAATAAATAGAAAACATCACTTTAAATAGTATTAACTAATGCAGTATATCTTTTTAAATTCTATATTATTGTAATAAAATCATAAACAATCACATTTATAACACAGTGGAGTTCAATGCTGAATTTCTGCCTTCGACTTGATTTGCTCAACAGTCTCGGCATAGTCTGGTGACGGTATGTACATGTAAACAAAATCTGATTAAAACCATTTAATTTATACATTTCATTTCAGTTAGCTTTTAACAATAAAACAAACAAAGGGTTACATTAAATTTGAAGTGTCAATCTCTAAACCATCCTCCTCCTCTTCTCAAATGGGATGGTCAGCCAAATCAAAGGTTACTATGAACTGTAAAAAAAATCTGGTATTTTACTTTTTTTTTTTCAGTAGCTGGGTTATTTACTGGTAATTTCTAATTTAAGGAAAATTCTGTAATTAAACAATCATTTTACTGTAAACTTCTGTAATTTTTATGGTACACTTCTGAATTTAATGCCAGTTGTTTTATTTTTTTCTGGCACCCCAGCTGCTGGAAAAATAACATAAAAAATAAGTTGTTTTTTTACAGCGTGGGTCAACTTTTGGGGATCTCTGATCTAGACCAAAACACAGATTTTAAAAAATAAATAATTATAAAAATATAGAATAAATAAATAAATGTAAATAAAAATGTAAAAGAATAATCACCTAACTTAATATTGTTTCCTTTTTATCCATTTTGCTTGTACTTCCTTTCAAAAATGGTAAAAATGCCATTTATTTTCTACCCAAAGTTAAGATTAATTTTAAACTAAATAAAATAATTTAAATATCCAACCTGTTGATGACGAATAAGGCATGTTCTTTCAATAAAAAAAATAGCATTCAATTCCTCCAATCACATATTTTTTGCCGTCTCATATTGTTAACATCCCTGACACATAGTCCTAATAAGTGCATTATCACGAGCCAACAAGTCTAATTTATTTCCTCCTAAAAGAGCACAAAAAAACAAAGCTACACTAATTACAAGCCCCCAACTATTGTACTTTGACTACGTAAACACAGTCCCTCCCTCCCTGAACTTACTCAATCACCCGCTCTGCATAAAAAGACAAGTAAAAGAAAGGACAAAATACAACATAATGGTGTTGATAAGCTAAATTACCAGATAACATCGAGGCACACACAGGCCATATGGTGCCTCCACCACTATCGCCTGTTGCTGGCATAACAATAGAGTTGGCTAGACGGTGAGTGGCAGCAACAGTCAAACAAATGGCCGTTCCTCTGAATTAGCCCCAGCGCCAATGAATACACACAGTTTAGCATCTTTCAGCCTACAGGTGCGCTTAAGTGGCAAACCAGATGTCAGCATGGGAGCGGGACTGTTTGTGGAGTAATTCAGCCGCTCCATGAGCCCCTGCTTCAATAACAGCAGGAACAATGAAGGGCCCCTTCCCCCATTTTCCCACAATCCCGTGCTCCCAAAGGAAGCCCCGTCTAGTGAATCTGGCACTTTTTGTTTTCCTACTTTGACAAAGTTTCAATTCTTAAAAAAACAGAAAGAGAAAATTGGGAAATTGTTTGATTCAACATGTTAATTACAGCTTTAAACTCCCAAACTACTGACAAACGGAAAAAAACAAACATTTTTCACACTGAAAAAGTTTACGGTTTTAAAAACACTCTTTTACTGTAAAACTATATGATTCATTACATCTAACACTGATTGAAAAAGGAGACAAATGTCCCTTTTTGTTCTTAAATTGCTATTACCATACGTAATATCGCTTGGGATCAATCTTAAAAGGGTCTATATAGTGTTTACATAAGATAAACAGACTGGCAAGTCAAAATAACATGACAATGGCGAAGGGGGTCGAAGTCATCTGTGACAACAAAACCCCGTCAGACAGCAAACAACGGAAAATAAAGAACAAAAACTGATCATTTGGCCACTAAATCGCCATATAAAACTAGCTTTTGACTAATAAGCACAGAAGTGTACACTCAAACACACTTAATGCCAAAAAACGCAGATTGCACACAATGAATTAAGCCCTCAAATCCATCCAGTTAGTGTTTAACCCTTAAACGTTTTTATTCAGATGGCATAACTGAATATGTTGGCAACAAATACATAAGTCCAGCGGTATTAGAAAACACCACATATTCCTTTCCTCTTTAAATCGTCAAACATGATGACTAAGTACATAAAACATGACATGAAAGCCAAAAATTGCACACTAGCTTATAAAAGAATGTCATGTTTCTTCCCTCCTTTTTTAGTAGGTAGTTACAACTTGACAAATTACTTGACAACGCACACAAATGCTGTGTAGAAAGGCAACACACAAGGATATTAAATGTTTACTTCTTCCTTTAGTAGTTTAATACGACAAATAACAATATTTAGGCAAGTAGGCTGGGTTTTGAGGCAGTCCGAGGACTAATTTTAGTCCGAGGGCTTTCAAACGTCCAGATTAATTATTAACAGGGGCTGGACCATGGACTTTCCCCTTAATCCTTTATTTATGTACACAAAACCGGCGTTTTTCAGGGAAAGCAAACGGGAGCAGGGTGTTACAGTCAGACTAAACATCCACAAGTCACTGAGGTCAGGTTAATAAGCAGAAATCAATGACACTGATTCAGTCGTGCCAGAAGCATGAATCACCTCGCAACGTGTGGTTTACTATTAAAGCAAATATGAACTTACTGTGTCAACGAGACCCGCGGTAAACTAGTTGCCACAAATCGAAGGAGGAAAATGTTTTCTGAACCTCCACAAGTGATGAAAATCTCAGCGGATGTTTGCAGTCTACAAAAAAAGGAAATAATGAATCGTTTTGCTGCTTGAAAGAGTGTTATTGATTTCTTTCAGCGTTATTTAAAAATAAAACGTTAATAAAAAATGAGCCACTACTCTTTAAGGTTTATATATGACATAACATAAAGCACAAATTAGATAAAATGCTAGCATAACTAGCAGCAAAACATAAACACACATTACTGATACTTCGTGGCATTTTAAAAAGAAGCCAAACACGCGTTTGTAACTTAGCATCGCTCCTAACAACTTAGTATAAAGCGCAAACGTACCTCAGTGTTTTTAAACGTGTCTGATGCCGAGCAATTGGATCGAGCTCAAGCTCTGATTTATTTCCAGCTGATCACTTTTTTTTCTTCTTGTCGGAGAGCGAGACTATTCCGCGAATGTAACAACGATGCGAAGTATGCGCGGAATGAGGGCAAGAATGAAATGAACGCGAAGAACTGAGTTTGCGTTGGGGGCGGGGCTGCAGTGACGTCGCTAACCAGAACTCCTAGATGGAGGGAGGGGCTGCCGCCAGGGGTGAGGATTTTTGCTTCGTCGGTGACTCGAATCTTTTGAATCCTTTGAGTAAAGAGATTAGTTTTCATTTATTCACGTTACTTCGGCTTAGTTCCTTTATTCATTAGGGGTCACCACAGCGAAATGAACCGCCAACTTATCCAGCATATGTTTCATACAGCGGATGCATTCCTTCTGCAATCAAGTACTGGGAAACACCCATACGCTCTCACATTCACACATACACATCGACCAACTTTTAGTTTGTTCAATACACCTATAGCACACGTGTTTGGACTGCAGGCCTGTATTCAGCCTGGTGAAAGGGGTGTTTTTTTTCTCAAAAAGTAAACTTTTTTAGCAGTTATTTTTATTTCACTATGAGGTTCAAATACCACATTTAAAGCACTAGTTTTAGCTGTATTAGCTTGTCGGATGATCATCATAACCACACTTTTTAATGTACGAAAATAGTTCCTAAAGCTTTAGAATTAAGAAATAAATATATATTTTTTAAATATAATTAAAATATACACATACAAAAATACAAATTTATTACAAAATATCACATCAGAAAATGTATATCTGTTAAAGTTTTAAATAAAAAACTGTAGCCTATTGTCATTTATTAGACAAATAACAAACAATAAACCTTCCTCTGTCCGAATTTGACTGAATTTGAATAAAAAAATTCTAAATATAATATTAATATTAATAATATTAATAATAATGATAATAATAATAATAATAAATTAGTGTCGAGCTTCATGATTTTTCTTGTAAAATAGTACATTTGAAAAATCATGTATGGCATCAATAGACAAATTAGTATTCAAACTAATCATAGGCCTTTATGGCCGCTTTTGGTGCTTCACAACTTTTTTCTCAAGAATAAGGTCCAAGATTTAGAATAAAAGTCACTTGTAAAATGTTGCTAAAACTGTAGCGAAAGATGACTTCAATTATTCGATGGATTAAATTATCGACCTTTGTTAGTAAGGTGTGGGTCCGCCCCCCCTCCCCCCTTTTTTACACAATAAAATATAAAAGTACGGCCTGAAATACAGTATGTAGTAAAAAGTATACATTACTAAACCTGTTTTAGTTTCACGGTGGTAATTACAATGCACATCATGTTTACATCTATACAGAATAACTTGCATTTCAAATTTTTGGTAAAAATAAAATATATAGATCGCGCCACAAAACACTTTAAAACAAAAGTAACGAGCCCGATTTAAAAATGTAAGGAGTAAAGCTTTACACTGAATATTATTCAACGTTCAATATCCTTAATCCACAGTACTGGTTCAATTGTTGTCCAATTTTCTATCATCAATTCATAAATTTATATTATCATCAATTCATAATCCAAATCCAATATGATATAAGAATTTGCTCAATGTGTTTCTAGCCTTCGGGCATTAACATTGCTCTGAATGAGGAAAAGTTTAAGTTTCCAGTGGGAGCAACAGAAGAGCTGTTAACAATAACAGAAGTCACTCATTATATGTACCATTGCCATCTTGTGGTTAAAACAGACAAAAGCTTCTTGCCAAGAAGACGCTTTGACATTTTCTAGACATCATGGAAAACGGAGAAACACTACATCAGCCTTAGTCATTCAATACAATAAACATAAAAAAATAGAATTACAGTCACAAATATGCATGCAGGGCTAAAATAAGACATCCCAGATTTAAAGGATAATGGCAAAATATAAATATAATAAATATAATTAAAATTAGAGTTAATTATAGGGCAGCATTGAGACCATCTAATTGAAAAGATATTTGCATGTTTTCCAGAGTACAAAGTTGGTACAATTTATATTGATCTTTCAACAAAAAAAGATGCATTTTATGTGATGTCCCTTTTATATTAGATTTACATTTACACTAAAATGTTTGCCCTCTTATTGATTTATTTTTTTGTATATTTGACATGTCACAATTTAATGTTTCAGATCATCAAAAACATTAGTTAAATATAACACAAGTAAGCACATCATGCAGTTCTGAAAGTAAGATTTCTGTTATCAAGGCAAAACTGTGTGTAAATAGTTTTTGCCCCCCGTCAAAACAACTTATCACCGGAGCTGAATTTCTCTAGCCACAGCCAGGCCTGAATACCACAACACCTGTTCACAATCAAGAAATCACTTAAATAAAACCTACCTGACAAAGTGAAGTAGACCAATAGATCCTCAAAAGCTAAACATCATGCTGAGATCCAAAGAAATTCAAAAACATGAGATCTAGCAGTCTGTAAAATGTAATCATAAAGCCATTTTTAAAGCCTTGGGACTCCATCGGACCACAGTGAGAGCCATTTTCTTCACATGGAACAATGGAGAACTTTCCCAGGAGCTTTCATAGAAAGAGGTCACAGAAAACGCACAACAACATCCAAAGAACCGCATGCCTCACTTGCCTCAGTTAAAGTGAGTGTTCATGACTCCACCATAAAAAAGGAGACTGGGCAAAAAATGATTTGCATGGCAGAGTTTCAAGATTAAAACCATTGGTGTGCAAAAAGAACAAAGGTTTTTCTCAGTTTTGCCAGAAAACATCTAGATCAATGGTCTCAAACTCAATTCCTGGAGGGCCGCAGCTCTGCATAATTTATCTCCAACCACCTCCAACTCACACCTGCTATATAGTCTTTAGTAATCTTGAACAACTTGATTAATTGGATCAGCAGTGTTTGATTAAGGTTGGAGCAAAACTGTGCAGAGCTGTGGCCCTCCAAGAATTGAGTTTGAGGCTTATGATGATCCCCATGACTTTTGAAAAAATACTCTGTGGACTTATGAGACAAAACCTGAACTTAGAAAAGGTGTGTGTCCCACTGTGTGTGGTATAAAAGTAACACTGCATTTCAAAAAATAAAACACCATACCAACAGTAAAACATGGTGGAGGTAGTGTGATGGTCTGGTGCCGTTTTGCTACTTCAAAATGCAACCATAAATTGTACTGTGTACCAAAATATCCTGAGAGAGAATGTCCAGGCCATCAGTTATTGACCTCAAGCTGAAGCGAATTTGGGTATTGCAGCAGAACAATGATCAAAAGCACAGCAGTAAGACCACTTCGGAATGGCTGAAAATTAAAAATGAACAATTTAGAGTGGCCTAGTCAAAGTCCTGACCTGAATCCAATAGAGATGCTGTGGCATGAGCTTAAAACGGCAGTTCATGCTAGAATTTCTTTTCTATTTTGTCTACAATTTAAAACTGCATGGTGTGTTTACTAGTGTTACACTTGCATATATGGTACATTTACATATACTGAACATATATTTTCTCAGATAAAAAATAAGTGCTTGTTAGGGATTTTATTTCAATAAGTGTTAATTTGACACAATTTTAATGACTATAAAGAAATCTCTTACTCTCACCAAAACAGCTGTTGAGCGAGTAAAGATATAAACATGACGAATACATCTAGCGGACACTTTTCACAGAAACAGCAAACAAAAAGGGTAAACGTGTAAAATCCTTGAAAATCAATATGTGCTTTTACAGGAGAAAGCAGCAGCGAGAGATGAAGGGGTGTAATTAAATGGTCATATAATTGGATCTGGAGAACAAGCAATGAAGCAGCTTGTTAACTTGTTACTGTTACCCCGTGAGAGCGTGCCAGCGTGCCTGAGCCTGCCATTAGCAGAATGTTGTTCTCACATTCTATAGGGACGCAAGAAAAAAATACATGAAAAGGAAACAGTGAGGAAGACCTTGTGTGTTTCTATTCCTAAGAATCATATTCACCGAGGAAAAAGGACATGGGTCAAATATAACATTAATTGTTCTTAGATACCCCGCTCAGATGCAATTAAAAACGTTTGTATGAATCGACTATAGCCTAAACGAATCTTTCGCAGATTGGAGGTCATTTCGTTCTTGTAAATGTTTTATAAATGGAGCCCTTAGAGGCTATGTTTGATGTTCGGGATGAATGCCCTTCTACCTTTGATGTTCGGTTGAATTTCTAGCCACCGTAACTTTGAAAGTCCGCACTCTGGAAAGGAAAAGATGGACAGGGCTGCCGAATCCAAATTCAGGGGGCTCTCACTTTTTTTGAGGTCCATCCTCGATCCCCTTTGTCATTCTTAACCTTTAAATAGACAAGCACTCTTGAAGTATGCCATCAACAGCGATCATTAGCGCACACTGGAAAAAAGGATGAGAAAAATGGAGAGACTGGAGAATTAAAGAAGAGGGAAAAAAGAACAAATGTTAAGGAGAGCCAAAAAGACAAAATAATTGCAACCTAATGGTGGAAACACTGCCATTCACCACATGACGCACAGGTCAGTCAATTACCCAGGTGTCCTTTCAGACATTTCCCCTGCTTCTATCAGTAATTGTGACAAAATGACATAATATGTTATATAATGCTCCATTTGCAGTGTTCTCGTCTAATAGTGTAAATAAACAGATCCACGTACAGATATAATTAATCTTATATTCCCATCTGAATCATGACAAATTTCTGAAAAGATTTGAACAGCATTTATTAATACAAATTCAAAGGCATATGTAGTGTTATATACTGCTGCACACAGTGGATGAAAGCTCCTTCCAAAATATCATACATTGCAAGGAAATTTGGAAGAATTCTATAGAGCGAGCATAGGTCTTAAACTCCATTCCTGGAGGGACGCAGCTCTCACAGTTTTGTTCCAACCCTAATCAAACACAGCTGATCCAACTAATCAAGGTGTTCAAGACTTTTAGAAACTAAGCAGGGGTGAGTTGGAGGTGGTTAAAGCAAAACTGTGCAGAGATGCAGCCCTCTAGAAATTGAGTTTGACACTATTGGTATAGAGGCATGTGCTGGGGAAGAAGGGTGCATTGGAAAATTCCCATTGAATAGAGTATGATTGGAATTGAAATAAGGATATGTATGCAGTAAGGGCAAAAATTTTGGTTAAGGTTTCCCAAAAA